TCTGTGTCCCTACAGGTGGGCAAAGCCATGTCGTCCAATGAGACTGCAGCGTATGAAATCATGAGGTCACTGGATGTTGACTACGTCCTGATCATCTTCGGAGGGGTGATTGGTTATTCAGGCGATGACATCAACAAGTTCCTGTGGATGGTGCGCATCGCAGAAGGGGAGCACCCCAGGGACATCAGGGTGAGAGAGACGTCACACATACTGTATTTCAGGCACTTTAGCGGGTAACAGGAGAGCATTAGAAGGTGAGCGTGCTGCAGTGGTTAAATATTTACTGCAGAGGGAGAGGTAGGCCTGCAAAGTGGAATCATATGAATGTTTGATGTGCTCTCTGACAAAGGAAAATCCAGGATCAGTAACCAAGTGTGCTTTTAGTTGTTTCCCTGCAAGTTCACTTATTCTCCCTCCATCTGTCTCCCTGTCTACCTGTCAACCCAGGAAAGTGACTACTTTACCCCGCAGGGAGAGTTCAGAGTGGACAAAGCTGGTTCCCCCACCCTGCTCAACTGCCTTATGTACAAAATGTCTTACTACCGCTTTGGAGAAATGCAGGTATGTCCTCATTAATAACCGTCCTGCAGCGAACTGAATGCAAAGACCACTGTGTTATTACAACGAGCTGTTCTCAAAGGCACTAACAGGATTTTAGACATTAACAACTTTATCTGTCCTCATTTCTGTTTAGCTGGACTTCCGGACGCCACCAGGCTTCGACCGAACACGCAACGCCGAGATTGGCAACAAGGACATAAAGCTGAAGCACCTGGAGGAAGCCTTCACTTCAGAGCACTGGTTGGTCAGGATTTATAAGGTGAAAAAGCTGGAGAACAGAGACCGCGTAGAGCACAAGCTGCGGAGCACTGATGCCACTAAGCAGAAGTACACCACCAAAAAGGTAAGCTGGGACTTCAAACACTGGACTGTGTCTAGTTCTCTGCCTATTCCACCAGGCCTTCTACACAATGCTTGTGATTAGTTTCAGAGTGACTCAATGCGTGGCTGGTTTAACTTTGATGAAAGCTGTGAGATGTACGAGAAGGAAGTCAGAATCCGGTCACTTTTTAGCCCCAATCCTAAAAACAAACAAATAGGAAACAATTTAACTACGCAGCCTACTAACTTACAGCCTTATGTGCACTGTGTGGTAGAGACAAACAGAAACAAAAGACATTATTCAGATATGATTAGGTAATGAGTGCTGAACAACCTCCAAACTGCTGTTTCAAAGCTGATGTTTGAACCTCGTCATCTGATGTTGACTTGGCAGTAGGCAAGAATCTAACGAGCTGAAGTTAGGGACTGTCTTAAAAGTGAAAATGCTTTTCAGATTTCTTTCACTAGCTCTTTTATTTTTACGTTTGGTGTGATCCCAGTACAGATATTTTTGTGAGAAACTGAGGTGGTTACTGAAGAGTACTTGATTTTTACTCCAGTATGTTTTTGGTCGTGTTCCCCTCTGCAGACAGCCAAGAGGAAGCGTGGATACATCAAGAACAAGCTTTCCCTCAAGAAGGGCAAGAAACTGACCAAGAAATCTTTATAGAAAGTCTACCACCAACAGAGGCACATTGTGGACGGGAGAGAGGAGAAATCTTAAACACAAAACTTTCAACAAAAACCGAGCAGCAACAGTAAATCCACCAGTCAAGATGAATAAGGAACACCAGAGGTTCTCCAGAGCCCTGTCATCCCGCGAGTCCTCACCCGGAGGTCAAAGGCTGCAAATCTTACCATCACCTAGGAGAACGCGTTGAACCCCAGCTGACCTTTGACCTGGATAAGCGGGGGGTCAAGGAGGCGGAGAACGGGAGATGTTGGGCTAGTCCGAGACCCTCCCCACGCTGGTTTTAACCTGAGGAACTGTGACCTTTGACCCGCTTTTCTTTTTGTACTTGATCGTGATAGGAGAGAGAGAGAGGGAGCAAGAGAGATTAGCCGTCCCTAATCCAGGGACTCCGCTTGGGACTGCTCTATGTATTGCATCATTCAGAAGACACCCCACTTTCCTATCATGCCCCCAATCCAGCGCCGCAACCCTAGACCAATGACAGGTCGACCCACATGGTGTTATCCCCTCGTTGGAGTTTATTCAGTTCTTGATAAATAATCAGTTTGATGGGAAAGGAGAGAAACAGGAAACAGCTACAGCGGCTTTCAGAGGTGTGAGATTGTGCTTCGATGCTTCTGGAAGGTCCAGGTGTTGGAAAATACTCAGTGGTCTGTTTTTATGTGTTTCATTTCCTTTACACTCTCCTTAGAATCTGTTATTAACAGGAGTGCATGTACTCGTATGTGCCAACCAGGAGAGGCCATCACTCTTCACACAACCTCACTGCTGCGCTGACAGGACATATCAGCTTAGAACCACACCTACTTAATGGAAAATCCACTTCATTACCACTTGGTCTTGTGTTTTTGTAGTTTCTATTATCACATTGTAGGGCTTGGGTCCACAAGGTGTTCTTTTTTTCTGACAGAAAAGCGCTGGCAGGATGCAGGGGAGGGCTGGGAGGGACAATAATACAATATTCTGACAGATCCTGACAATTGGCTATTAACTTAACAAACAACTGCAGACAAAACAGGGGGAAACATCGCTTTTCAGCTTTTTCTACATTTAACTTGAGCTGTAGTCAACTCCCTTCACTTCACCTGGTTCAGTGTCCACCGCAGCCCAGTGAGGAAACCAAAATCAGGAAACAGGTTTTCTGTTTTTTTATCCATTTCTAAATGGTAGTCAGTAAACAGCTTGTTTCCAAATTTTGTTTTTCTCATTTCAAAACAAATACCCGTTGGCTGCACACTGCACTGACTGTATCTGTCAGACGAGCAGAGGACAGACCAACTAGCGCAGCCATAAATCCCAGCAAAGCATAGACTCTCAGAATAGTTTTTTTCTGTCTGACATATCATAGAGCTCAGAACAGACACACGGCTACAAGCTTCTCCATTTTATTGGTTACCTGGGTGACAAGTCCCCCTTCTATAATATTATCAGTTGCCTGAAAATGAGCGACAGTGATGACACCACCTCCTGTCTGAAAAGAGGCCGGTCGCAGCTCTTTTTCTGTAGGTGACCGCATGCCGCTCAGTAAAGAACACTATGTGGACACAAGCCCTCACTCCAGGTAATTGCTGAGACCTCAGAAACACAGCGGCATCAGTAAAAACAAGTCAGACCGGCCCAGAAACACGAGCAGTCAACAGGTTAGACAAACCCAACTGGAACAGATTTACTTCCTGGTTCAACTTTGATCCACTCTATTCGCCAAAGTGGAGCTCTTGTTTCTTGCTCTCTGACACTTTGTTGCAGTGACGTCACCAACATATCTCAGCAGTGACCTAAAAGAGTACAATATTACCATAAGTGATAGAAAGGATGGATAAATCTATGACAAAGACCCAAGTTGTAATAAAGCAGATTTCTCCTGTAAAACCTGTATCATTCAAACACTGCTGAGCAGGCCTACCAGAGACCCCCAGTGTATTCACATTAGCTTTGTTTAAGATGCTTTAGGGAAGCCATGAACCCAGCTCTCCATTTTATCACTTGATTCCTGAATTAATATGTTGCTCACACACTAGCAGTGCACGCATGTTTCTGAGCTTCAGGGGGAGAAAGTGAATGTTTAAAGTAGCAGTGAAATGCGTGTGTTTGTGTGAGTGTGTGCTGTCTGTTTGTTTTTAATGATAGCTCTGGCTGCAATCTGGACTGAGAATTGCGAGTCAGTACCACTTTAAAGTAACGGGGCCCACGTGCTTGCTTTTTGTTGCTAGCACCATATGCTGACGGGATGTCTGTCACGTCTGCCAGCGTGATCATTAAAAAGCCATTAGATGTGTAGCGCCCCTTCACTCCAATCTGAACCCCTTTGAGCTGCCGGTGCCCAGGAGCATTCAAACAATGTGAATGGAAAGCAGCAGCGCGTCAGGAGCAGTGTCTGCTGTTAGTGTGTCACCAGTCCACCTGATTCCCTTTGATCTCCTGTCAAATGTCCCACTGCACTCTGTACATAGCAGACTGCTTCTCCCTTCACATACAGTAACAGCATCAAACACTCTGCTCCCGCTGCTTATTCCCTCATGAATTCCTCTGAGCTGTCAGCAGCAGGAGGCTTTGTTGACTTGCAGAGGGTTAAAACATTACACTCTAGTGCTTCGCTCTAATTTCCACCGTTTTCTCATCTATAGTTCTGTCATGCAACCGGTGGCATAAAAGTGGCTATTTCTTACATCGTATGTGATTATATTTTGATTTAAAGTATAATTTGTTCCCTCTGTTTCCCTATGATTTAATCCGCCTTATTCTTGTTTCTTGAAGATATTCCAAGGAACTAGTGATTCTGTTGTGAGCTTTTTGTCAGAAGAATGCCAACTTAAGCAAATCCAGGTGGAGAGGATAGCACTGGCCTTAACAGGAAAAAAAAATGTACAAAAAAAATTCATATCGTTTCCAGAGCTCGACAGTCGGTGAGTGTATTTATTACATGGACGATGGAGGCTGCGGTGACTAAAGCGAGCGTAGCGTCCTATCAAGAAATGCAAGGATTTTATTTCGTTTTTGATTTTCTAAGTCAAGGTTTCTTCCATCAATTGTAATGATCTGGATGCAGGTGTGAGAATGAAACATGCCTTTTTGAATAAAGAGGTTGAAATAACACTGTTTTTATTTCTTTTAGTATTCTCAGTGTATGTTTAACATCCACTTACTGTATATTTAAAATGCTTCTTTCCCACTGCACTGAGCTTTAGTTCAATGTCCTGTAGCAGTGTTACCAATGCTACTAATTAAGGCTCTGTTCCATTTAGTGTCACAACAGCAGCACTCTGACTCTGTTTGACCTGAATGGAACAGAGCCTTAATTAGTACCATTAGTAACATCTGTGCTTACCGACCATTTCATGTCAAAATGGCTGCCGATGGGAAGGTTGTTAGTTTTGAAGGTGGTCATAAACCAATCAACAGACACAGTGAAAAGAGAGCTTACAATACAGGATGTAATAATGTTTTATATTTCAAATGTTACAGCCACAAACAGTCTAAAAATGCACACAATAAAAACAAATACACATTTTTTTAAAAATCATACAACTGCATTGACAAGAATGCATCGTTTCTACATAAACTTGCAGCTCCTTTGCCGAAGCTAGAATATATTCATACATCCAATACGTGACTGAATGTATTAAAAATTCTACAGTGAGCAGTTCCACGCTAACTTGCAAACACACTTACAGTTCTGACGACACCACAGAGATACAGATGAGCGGGAGCAATGAAAGGATCGTAACGTATGAGGCAGGTAGTTGAATCCATAGATCAGGAGGAGGAGAGAGGAGCAATGTCAAGACAGCAGGAGTTACTGGGACTAACTGGTCATTGCAGGGTCTTTTCTGACGGACAAGATTGCTTTACCGTGGTAAGGTAAGTGGAAGGCACCAAGAACACAGGAAAAATGATTCAAAGTTTGTCACTGTTTGGATTCCACCAGACGAGATTTCAATATTAAACTTTTTATCAAACGTTTAAAAAAAGTCAATTTTTTTTTTCCAAAGGTAGCTGAGCTAATTCACGTCGATCACCCGGCAGATTGACGAGTGTAAAATTAGGTGAGAAACCAAAGTAATAATTTCTTACCAATAATCAATCAACCTAGTTTGTACCTGGTGTTGCCTGGTTTCCATTGGTCAGATTAAGTTGCATAGTTTGAGTGAACTGAGTGCCAACCAGATGTTTTGAGGAGCACCTTGACACAGCGCCGGCCTTGCTCCCGTGTTTGACTGCAGAAATCTCTGGACGAATCTCCCTAACTACTGCTCATCTTATGTTTAATGAAAAAGGACTACACATAGAACCCCGCTGGTGCTTTTCCACGTTTTAGCCCATTAACTACAAATCTGCTGAGGTTTCCATTTCTGTGAGCTTTTTAAAGGTTCACCAAAGCTTTCTATACAGCTGTCCATTCATTTCAGTACTGAATTAAGTCGAGGGTTAGCGTATAGGTAAAAAATGTCTGTGGGATTTAATACAAACTGACAATTTGCAGAGACTCCGTTTGTTTGAGGTAGGTCATTATCATAGTGAACATTACATTATCTGTTCTGCGCTGTGAGCTGGGGCACTCCTGATGTTGGTGCATTCAAGAGCCGGCCCCTTCAGGAAGCTGGGATCACAACAGCGAACGCAAATTTAACCAATCCCTGTGAATCCCAGTTTGTCCAATCAGCGCAGTTCGCTGTGAGTTTCACCAGCCAGCAGTTGACCAAACTCACTTCCTTGTTTTGGTTGTGATGCTGCAGACATGTAAAACTCGAACATTTACCAACACAAATTACTGCTAAAGACTGCAAAGCAACTCCCTGATGTTCAGCACGGAAGTGTTTTGCACTGCATGCAATGTTGTGCTGGAACCCAAATCATTTGCACGACAGTATCAATGCACAAAAAAAAAAAAAAAGCCCCAAACATTGCATCTCAACATTTGAGTGTGACTCTGGACACGGGCCAAATGTACATTATCTTTTAAACAAGCTCCTCGTGGGTTTGTCTTTAAGGTTCCATTTTCAGACTATACGCTGTTCCTAAGGCTGAATGAAACCGCAAATGGTGTCGCTGTAGTTGCAGATTGCGACTCTCTCCCTTCACCCTCCACTTCCAAGCACCAACTACGGTGACAGCGAAAGACCCAAATGGCCACATCTGGAGCCAGTTTTTAAGCTACTGTATAAACAGTGTGGTTCAACATGGCTGCTTCCATGGAAGGCAACCCTCTGCGTCTGTAGATATACACAGCTCTTATTTTCAGGGGATCATACACTAATGAAAACACACTTAAGAATACTGTATTCCATTTCTTATTGAGGAGTACAAGCACAAGAGGTGCAATTTAAAAACAGAAAAAAACACAACTATCAAGTGAGTCTGAGGCATATTTACTCAGCCGCAGCTAATGAACACAAAGCTGGTGAAACAAAGTCTCTGTACTATTATCGCTTGGCTAAAGATGGTTCTGTGGAGGAAGAAACAGCACTCTGTAGTATTATTTTGATGTTTGAAGAAATAAAAGCAGTGCACTGTCTTCTTCATAAAAGACCAGCAGAGTGGTGTGTCTTTCTCTACATAAACAATCTAAGTGATGGCCTGTTGGCGTCAGCCGCTGCAGAGCTGTTTATCAGATGTGAAACGTGGTCAGGCGTGGTCAGTTTGCGGGCAGCGGTGGCCTAAAGGTTAGAGAAGCGAGCTTGTGAGTGGAAGACAGGATAAATCTGAGTGGGGAAAGTGGAAATAAAACAAGGGAATCAAGATGCTCATTGTGATGGATTTCTTATTCGAGCTATTTGAATCTCTGCAAGTTGAGTTTTACAGTGTACTAAAAGGAATGGAACAGTCGGTAGAATCAAGCACAGGCTATTTGTAGTCAGTGGGCTAAGACATGGAAAAATACTGGCACCGTCCTTTAAAGAAAGCTACAGGATGGACAGGCTGCACAGTGTGGATGAACTCCAGACAGCGACTGTTTATAATACACTGCCTGTTAATCTGACCCCTGTTCCTATTCGTCGGTACTATGAAAGATTTTACCGTTAACGTTCCCTTCTGCCACAGAGGTTAATGACAGTCTTACACTGCACCGCCCACAGTTAGTCCTCCTCGTCCTCCTCGTCCCCTCCAAATGACAGAAGGCTGTTATTTTTCACTTTCTTCCCAGACTTCACCTCCTTCTTCTCTTCCTCCTCCTTTTCTTTCTCCTTCTCCTTCTCCCCTCCATCACTCTTCTTCTTTTTGCTGGAGCTCGCCGTGATGCCCTGGAATTTGTCTGAAGAGGAGCGCTTGGCCGGCTTCTTGAAGAGGATTTTGCCATCGGGAGGAGGTTCATCGTCTGTGGGCGAGATGGTGGTGTGTGATTCATAAAAAAAACAGAGTGTGAAGCACTTTTCATCAGACACTCACTGCTGCCTTGACAAAATACACCTTCATTCAAGTGTATCAGCAGTGATGGGATTAAACCGCCCCCCCCCCCTTTTACATAGTATCATGTTAAAGAATTGAACTTACACTGTAAACCAAAACTGTTCTAGTTGTTGCTGAGAGCTATTGTAGATCACAGCGCACTCTGCTGGATACACTTTGCACTGACACCAATATATTAAGCATTTTTTGCATTATATACCAGGGAAATGGGATTCCATATTCCCATTAGGAATGACTATATATATATATAATTAGCTGCTTCTCACGGCCGATACTGATGAGATAACGGATCATTTGGCATTTTAAAAAGTTCAGAACCTGTAGTTTTTACACAGGTGGTGCAAGGAAGGCTGAGATGTAGTGAGCAAAGAGGGATGTTTAAGACGCATAGCTCTGTTCTAACCCAATTCACCGACAGCAACAACAAACACACTTTGGTTTTATTACGTCATAAAGCTTCTCAAACATTTAGCATTAGCATTCAGCTGATAACAGCAGTCCGCTAATATGGCTCACGCTCACTCAGCCTTACCTCCAGTACGCTTCTCCTCCTTCATCTTCTTCACGTCGTCTGCGGAAAGGTCTCCACCTTTTAGGACTACAACCTGAGGTAACTCGTCCTCCCGGTCGCTCCCGCTGTCATCATCCAGCGTCGGCATCACCTGGCGCTGAGAATCAAACACACAGTGGAGAACAGTCAGAGAACATTCAGAGAACATTCAGAGAACAGTCAGAGAACATTCAGACAGTAAACACAGAGCCAGGTTCTGGCGGGCCCGTCAGCGGAACCTCTGGAGGTGAACTTAGAGAAGTACTTTAAGTGATCTATAGAGATGTTACCATGTGTTAGTGTGCTAAGAATGTTTAATGGAAGAATATGGATGTGATTTTATTGCTTACTTTTCGGTTAAGTCACTCTTAATTGTCGTCTTCCAATATGTATTCATTTATTATTACTATATTATCTAATTATGTATTTGTACGGCTTTTCTTTGTGTGTATTATACTGCTGCCGTGTTGAACGTGGAGCCGCGGACGCCTCAGTGTTCTATAGCTTTTATAGATTTGTGTCCGTTAAAAATGACAATAAAGTTTGAAAACAAAGAAAAGAAAGAGACAAAGAGGTTTCTCCAGCAGACATCCAGCTCCATCCAGCTCCATTCACTGCGCTGCGTGAGGGCAGCACGCTGCTCACTGCTTCAGCGTCTCAGTGAAAGACTCCACCAGCACTGCCACTGAAACCAGTACAATACAACAGAAAGCTGCTAGAACACAGAACATAGAACATAGAACACAGCTAACGTTAAGGCTCATACACTCTAATGAGCTGCCCTTATCCCCGTTCCCGGGCTGCTAACTAGCTCACACGTAGCCAGAACTAGCCGGAGCAGCTCACCTTAGTGTCAACAGTCGGTCCTTCTTTATAGCCAACATCACTCTTAAACTTCTTGAGGAAGGACGGCTCCTCTGGCTTCACCCATGACACTCCACTGGCCTTGTTCTTGTTCATGGTGAACCAGTAACACAGCGCGCGCACACAATGGATTCCGGCCTCAGTAGACGTTCGGGCACCAAAACATCCAATACGTCATTAAGATGTGCCGCTGCAAGTCACATGGCTTCAGGAGCTGCTGCGATTGGTGGATGTGAGACACTGAAGTCAAGATGGCGGAAATGTGATTGGAAACGGGATTTCGCCTTCAAACTAAAATCGGGCATTAGTCGGAGGCAAAAAACAAAAAACGGGTCACTTCATTATTGTTTTCAGTTATCGAAAACGCCTAAAGAATATTCATATGGTAGTGATTTGCCATAAGCTTAATGGATCTTGACCAGATAATTCGTATTTGGGAGAAGCTGTTTGGCTAATAAACGATGTGGCATCTTTCATGAATAAAAGTGCACCGAAGGCGACATTTTCGCAACAGCGGCCACAATGACAAACAAGTATTATTATTTACTGCCTAAAATACACGAGTTAAAGGTTTGGGCTTTGTAGCTATCAGGCCTGCTGTAAAGTGTTCACTAACTTTGTCAGGCAGGTTTTTGTTTTGAAAGTTTCTACCACCCTCCATATCCGGCGTTAGCTCGCAGTCGACCCTGCTGTCAGTGGGACTGCCTGGTGTGTCACTGTACCGTGTCTCACACTCTGCGGGTATGATTCCAGGGTCTCTTTACGCGTTGTTAGCGGGCTTTCTGGGTGCAGCTGCCTCTCTGTCCGCCAAGCTGTCCCTCGGTGCTGACTACCTGAGAGACATCTGTGAGTCCGGGCTGAGCGGCTGGACTCAAACACACGGCGGAACCACAGCCTGTGACTGGGTAAGACGAGCTTAATACCATACACCCCTCTCTGTCTTTCCTTCACGTTTCATACCGAACACGTGGCTTTTTAAATACATATAAAGTTGTCATAAAAGTAAATGGGACTCCATTATTGAGGATATTCTTGGTTCACTCTGTACTGAAGATCCCCTGCAGATAACACACAGTACACTCTAGTACACACACATTAAAGGAAAACCTGAAGAACCAGATCTCAACACTTATGTAGAACATTTTTCCTTTAATTTGTCACCCATATGTAGCTGACTGCAGCTGTGTGTGTGTGTGTGTGTGTGTGTGTGTGTGTAGCTCCACATCCCCCTGCGGCTGCTGTGTGGAGGCCTGCTGTTCACCTGTAACGCCGTCATGTGGACCTTCTTCTCCAAGGCTCTTCGACACTGCTCCTCCTCAGCCAGGGCCACCGTCTCCACCACGGCATCCAACTTCATCTCCTCAGTAAGCCCCCGGCCTTCCCTCGCTCTTCACCTCTCATTGTTTCACTCTGAACAACAGAGTCTGTGAAAAGACAGGAAAGGTTTCAGTGAAAGCATTCAGACTCTCTGTTTGTGTCCAGGCCGTCCTGGGGAGGGTGATCTTCGGAGAGACCCATGCAGCTCTGTGGTGGGTGGGCATATCTCTCACACTGTGTGGACTGCTCGTACTCCATGGATCCGTGCCTCAGACGCTCCCACAGGGAGAGGAGGAGGGCAGGAAGGACAAGTGATGCAGCTTTGGCTGAGGCATGCAGCCACTGCTCCTCAGGTGCAGACACATCTACCTGTGGCCAGACTCCCTGGGGGAGTAATGATGGATAATGGACTTTCTCAGGTACCTAAAAGTGGAAATGTTGCTCCTAAGTGTCTTATTAAGTGCA